AGACAGAACTACACGAATTGGTTTTGAGACTAAGTCTAGAACAGTCTGGAATTGTTAAAGCTCTTTTCCTGACCACTTGTGTCTCCAGACCCTTTGGTACAACATATGTCTGTGTTTAAACAATAGATTCCAAATAAACAATGAAAGCACAGTGATTATGAAGCTGAAGAACCAGAACTTGAGTTGCTTCAATTCTCTCATTTCATGCAACCACTTAAAGCTTTTGCACTTAAAATTTAAAACAGTAAAACATGCCCTAGCCAGTTTGGCTCAGTGGATAGAGCATTGGCTTGTGGATTCCGGGTTCGATTCCGGTCAAGGGCATATGCCTGGGTTGTGGGCTCGATCCCCAGTGGGGGGTGTACAGGAGACAGCCGATAACTGATTCTCTCTCATCATTGATGTGTCCATCTCTCTTTCCCTCTCCCTTCCTCTCTAAAATCAATAAAAAACATATTTAAAAAATAAAACAGTAAAACAGAACAAACTGCAAAGTGTGGTAACTGCAAATTTTATTATTTAGTAAAATTTTATTATTTTTTTTAATATATTTTATTGATTTTTTACAGAGAGGAAGGGAGAGAGATAGTTAGAAACATCGATGAGAGAGAAACATCAATCAGCTTCCTCCTGCACACCTCCTACTGGGGATGTGACCGCAACCAAGGTACATGCTCTTGACCGGAATCGAACCTGGGACCTTTCAGTCCGCAGGCCGACGCTCTATCCACTGAGCCAAACCGGTTTCGGCTAAAATTTTATTATTTAGTAAAATTTTTAGATATAAGTAATATATTTAATATTGAAATTGAGTGTTATTTTTAAAGTATTTTCTTGCTTGTTTTAAAATGTCTTTTTAATTTTTTTTTTTAAGAGAGAGAGAAGAAAGGAGAGGGAGAGAAAGAAACATCAAAAACATCAATCAATTTGCTGCTTCCTGCATGCCCTGCACTGGGGATTAGAGTCCACAAACCGGATCATGTGCCCTGTCAAACCTTGGACCTCTGGGAGCCTGGGTTCAACCAACTGAGCCACACCGGCTGGGCTGTTTTCTTGTTTTTAAACTGTAATGTGATTAATGTAATGTCACTATTGCAACAAACTGCTATATAGATATGTTTTTATTTTTTCAAAGAAATATATTAATGGAACAGCATATTATTGATTCAACACTCTTTTCCTCTTTTGTATTATACTATTTATTTTTACTGATGATTACATACAGAAAGTTCAATAAAAGAATATTTTCACTGTCTGCATTTCTTTTCTTGAGATTATTATTAGTGTTATTCATTGCATTTCATGACTATTATTGAAAATAATGTTACTTAGAGGAGGTGAGTGTTTGAAAATGATTTGTTCCGAGTGACAAATAAGCTAGGTAGGCCACTCATGCACTGAAGAAAAGGAACAGGGAATTAGGAGAGCTATGAGGAGGCAGACAGAGGTGGAGATGCTGGAAAGGGTGGGAGAAGGGATTTCACAGCCCCTGTGTGGGGACTCAGTGGCCTCACTGAATGGAAGCCGGCTCAAAACAGAGAAAGTGGGGGAGCAGAAGTCAGACCAAGCTTATCCTGGTGGGCCAGGTAAGTCTGCTGTTTATCTTGAGAGTAATGGGGACACTATTGAAGGGTGTTAGGAAGGCAAGAGACATAATCAAATCTGTGACTACAAGTCCTATCACTCTGGCTGCAGGAAGGAGACCTGGTAGGTTCAGGGATGAGAAAGGAGGCTGGGCAGGTGCCCAGATGAGAGATGATGGTGGCAAGAACCTCATCATCTATCTACTACAGTCTGGACTGAACAGCTCAGTGGTGAGCCCAGCCTTGAATTCCTGTGGCCTGTAAAGTTTAGACTCTGGGTACCCATTTGAAAGGACTTGGGGTAATCTGTGTGTAAGGACAAACACAGTTCAGTGGCAGGCTGCAGTTTGGGGTTTTCTTTTCCAAAACTGTACTTCCTTCTCTGGGCTTCCATAGAAATCTGAGTGCATTCATCATAGAACACTGACTTTGATCCATTCAATAAATGGGTATTGAGCACCCACTGTGTGCCAGGGAATCTCCTAGGGATAAAGCAGTAATCAAAGACAAACATCTCTGCTTCTTGGAGCTGACATTCTGGTGTAGAGGAGAAGTCAAAAAACAAGAAAACAAGTAACATAATTGCAGATGTGGTAGATGTTATGAAGAAGAGGGGAAGGGTGGCGAAAGGGAAGAAAGCAACCAAAGCAAAGACCCTTGGTAATACCAAACTTGGGACAGGATGTGGATGAATGGGGTTTCTTGTATGTTGTTGGTGGGAAAGTAAATTGGTACAACGTGGATATTTGGCATTACCTTGTAAAAGTTAGCAATCATATGTCTTCAGATGTGCAACCAATACTTTCCATGATATCCGTGGGAGAACTTCCTGCCCTTGGGCACCAGGATTGTTAACAGTAACACTCTTCATAAGAGCAAAAATCTGGCAATAATTCAAATGTCTGTGGACAGGAGAATGGATAGGAAAATTGTGTATATCCCACAGTAGGAAAATGAATGTACCCCACACAGGTGTGATAATGTAGATGAATTTTAGCACTATAATAATGAGAGTGAAAGTAAATACCAGAATATTGCATAGAGCATACTTTGGTAAAGCTAGAGAATATATTTGTAAGAAAAACATTTTAAAAAGTAAGAAGAGAAAGGAGACCACATAGAGAGTGGTCAGGGCAGGCCTCTCTGGACAGTCCTATTTAAACTGAGGCTACAATGAGATGGTCCAGCCATGTGGGGATAGGAATGAAAATTTTTCTGGGCAGAGGAGACAGTGTGTACAAAGGCCATATAGTGGGCCCAAGCCTCCTGTCTTTGAGGAACATCCAGGAGGCCAGTACGCTTATAAATAATAATAATAATAATAATAATAATAATAATAATAACAACAACAGCAGCAGCAACAGGACCAGAGTAAGACATTTGAGCAGCGCTGTGCATTTAAAAGATGGCTGTATCCATCATGTCATTTAAAAATAAAATTAAGCCGAACCGGTTTGGCTCAGTGGATAGAGCGTCGGCCTGCGGACTCAAGGGTCCCGGGTTCGATTCCGGTCAAGGGCATGTACCGTGGTTGCGGGCACGTCCCCACTGGGGGGAGTGCAGGAGGCAGCTGATCGATCTCTCTCATCGATGTTTCTGACTTTCTATCCCTCTCCCTTCTTCTCTGTAGAAAATCAATAAAATATATTTTAAAAAAAATAATAAAAATAAAAATAAAAATAAAATTAATATTAAATGGAAAAAGTGGAAAAGTGTTAGAAAAAAATTTAAAGCTTTTCTTTTCCCCATGACCACTCTTTGATACCTTTACTTGGGGTCAGGCAGGAATGTGTTTGTGTTTACATCCATTATCCCACTTAATTTGTAAAACAACCTTATGAGAGAGAAACTGCTTTTTCCCCATTTTAAGATAAGCAAAGGAGGTACCAAGATATGAATACAGTAATTCTGACTCCATCGAGCACTGAACCGGCCAGGCTGCTGTTGTGAATGTTCAAACTCGGGAATAGAATGACTTCATCGTCGTCCAGTAAGTCGACGAAGGAAGCATTTGGTAGAGAGCAGGCCCTGCTCCTTTGGAGTGTCCTGTGCCTTTAAGAGTCACCCCCTCCCGCCCGCGATGCTCCAATTTCCCTCCAGGGCACCCAGAGCATCACCCCGCCCCCCGCTTCGGCGTAGCAACCCCTCCTCCACGCCCCACACCCTCGGGCTGGGCTCTCAGCCCCAACCCGCCGAGTGGAGGGTGAGGTCTGCGGCCAGAGACCAGTTCCCTCCGCTCGGACGGTGCCCACCCACTGCGCCCCAGCAGAATGCCATTTTAGAGCCTCTAATTCCCACCCCTTCCAGCAACCTATTCCGAGGGGCTGGGCCTCAACGCCTTCTCTCCTCGCCCTGGTGCGGGTCGCGGTGAAGGTGACCTCCCCCGGGGTGAGCACACACCCCGCAGTGCCCGCGCGGGCTCACACGTGGTGAGCGGGGAGCGCGCAGCCCCTCCCCGCCACGCGCCTCGAGCGTGCGTCCCCGACACGCCCCTCGGCCTGGCGCCGCCCCTGTGCACGCGCTCGCCACTCCGGACCTCGGAGGTGCGTCGCGCCCTTATCCCGCAGCACAAGGGCTGCGGTGTGTGCTGCGACCCGGTGACAGGGCACCCACACATCCTCGAACCTCGCCCGAGGACTGTGAAAAGCGGAAAGCCCGCCTGCTCAGGGTTTGGCTGGTAGGCGAGGTGCCCGGGCCCTTGTGCGCTGAGCAGGAAAGGCTGGCACCGCGAGCCTAGGTTTGGAGCCCTAGTCCACACATCCTCAGTGTTTAGTACACTGAGTGAGCGTAATATTCCTTCTTTCTCAGATCTGCTGGCGCCTCGCACAAGATAAGAAATATGAAAGGGCCCCTTGGGACCAAAAGCATTCGTTGAGCCCGAGTGGCTGGACCCTGTCTGTACTGGCAGGGACTACATCTATGGCACGATGAGTCTGTCCCCTTAAGGAGCTTTTCTAAGCCTGGCTCCCCAACATTCTGTTCTGGGATGGTTCGAAGACACACCCCGAAAGAGGAGAGGGCGGAGGTCCCACCTGGCAGCAGGTGTCCTCGAATAAACTAAAATTTCAAAGGCATGGCGGGGCGGGTACTAGCTTTCGGAGCCAGAGGGGAAGCATGATCGGCGCCCCCCGCCCCCTCACCCGCTCCAGCCCCCAATCTAAGAAAAGAAACCGATCTCATCCGACACCCCCAATCCCAGACGCGAGACCGCCCCGCCCCGCCCCGCACTGGCAGCCAGCGATTGGGAGATGCAAATACCGGGTTCTCTGCCCAGCAACGGGTGACGCGCCGCCCGAGCGCGAGGCGTGGCCCGGCCGCAGCCCAAGCGGGCACCTCGGTGTTTACACGGGGCGGCCCCGCGCGCGCCGCAGCGGCCCGCAGACGGCGAGGGGGAGGGGCGGTGCGCGCGCCGGCGGGGCCGCGCGGGGAGAAAGACACTGGAAGGCGGCGGGGCGGGGAGCGGCGCGCGCGGGCCGCGGCTGAGCAGGAGGCTGCTAGGAGAGCCTGCGGGGGCCCGGGGGATACCATTCCTCCGCCCCCGCAAAACAATGTGTAGCGTGCAGCGGGACGCAACTTGCGGGGGGCGGCGGGGGCGCGCCGAACCCGCCTGAGACTGAGCCGCTGACCTCCCCCCGCCGTCCGTTGGGCCGGAGCGCCCAGCTCCTCGCTCCTCAGCTCGCGGGGGCCGGGCCGAGTTGTGGGGCGGGGCCGCCCCTCCGTCGCTGCTGCCTCCTCCCCCACCTCAGCCGCGGAGGATGCGGACGGCCCCCGGCGGCGTCTAGCGGCCCCGGGCCCAGGCGCGATGGTGCAGCAGCGGGGTACGCGGGCCAAGCGGGACGGCGGGCCGCCGCCCCCGGGGCCCGGGCCGGCCGAAGAGGGGGCGCGTGAGCCCGGCTGGTGCAAGACCCCGAGCGGGCACATTAAGAGACCGATGAACGCGTTCATGGTGTGGTCACAACACGAGCGGCGGAAGATCATGCACCAGTGGCCCGACATGCACAACGCCGAGATCTCCAAGCGCCTGGGCCGCCGCTGGCAGCTGCTGCAGGACTCGGAGAAGATCCCGTTCGTGCGGGAGGCGGAGCGGCTGCGCCTCAAGCACATGGCGGATTACCCGGACTACAAGTACCGGCCGCGCAAAAAGAGCAAGGGGGCGCCAGCCAAGGCGCGGCCCCGCCCCCCCGGCGGCGGTGGCGGCGGCGGCAGCCGGCTCAAGTCCGGGCCGCAGCTGCCTGGCCGCGGGAGCCGCCGAGCGGCGGGAGGGCCTTTGGGGGGCGGCGCGGCGGCGCCCGAGGACGACGAAGAGGACGACGACGAGGAGCTGCTGGAAGTGCGCCTGGTGGAGACCCCCGGGCGGGAGCTGTGGAAGATGGTCCCGGCGGGGCGGGCTGCCCGGGGACCAGCGGAGCGCGCCCAGGGGCCGTCGGGCGAGGGGGCGGCTGTCACCACCGCCTCCCCGAATCCGTCGGAGGACGAGGAGCCGGAGGAAGAGGAGGAGGAGACCACGGCGGCGGCGGCGGAGGATGGCGAGGAAGAGACGGTGGCCTCGGGAGAGGAGACGCTGGGCTTTCTGTCCAAACTGCCCCCGTGCCCAGCCGGCCTGGACTGCAGCGCCCTCGACCGCGACCCGGACCTGCAGCCTCCCTCGGGCACGTCGCACTTCGAGTTCCCGGACTACTGCACCCCCGAGGTCACCGAGATGATCGCGGGGGACTGGCGCCCGTCTAGCATCGCCGACCTGGTTTTCACCTACTGAGCCCACCGTCAGCGGGGCGCGCAAGCCCCCAAACCAGCTGTTTACATACAGGAATCAGGTATTGGGGCCCCTCGGAGGCCGAGGCTGGCACCCCAACTCCCACGCAGCCTCCCCCCTCCTAGACGTGCCCATCCCCCTCGAATCCAGACATGCCCCTCCCCCGCAGACACACCCCAGGAGAGCCCAACCCCCACCCTCCCCCTGACATCCAAGCCCCTCCCCGTCCTGCCCCCTCCTGCACAGCCACCAGCAGCCAGCCCCCCTCCGACACACCTCCCGTCCTTGCCTGCAAACCTGTGCCCCTCCCCCACTATGCACTTGCCCTTCCTCGAGGCCGGAGGACACGCCCCTGCCCTTGCTCTGGGATCCCTCCGCCTTCGCCCAGCCCGCCTCCTCTCTCGTCGGAGGGGGCGCTGGGGCCCGGCGGCCCCGCGCGCTTCTCCCAGGCCCCTCCCCTCCCACGGCGGGGGGAGGGGCGCGCTCCTGGTGCTCCGGGAGCGCTGGGCCCGCCCCCTTCTCGCGCATGCTTAGTGCTTCTTGGAGGAGGGGGCTGGTCCCTCTGTCCAGCGCTGGGGAGGAGCGGGGTGGGTGTGGAGCCATCCTGAGAAATATTCTGATTCGGGAGCTGCGGCTCCCTTTCAACCCGACGGGGCGTCACTGCCTTAATAGGGAGGAGCACTCAGGAGGGGGAGGAAGGGCCTAGCCCTAGCTGGTCCGAAGGTGTTGGTTTGGAACTTGGAACTGCCCCAAGGGGCATAACCCCCTTTTGCTTACGGGGTCGCCCAGACCCACATGCAAGCCCCCCACCCCCTCCACACACACACACACCGACTGCGTGAATGCCTCTATAGCCGTTTCCAGAAACCTCTTTTATTCTCCCACCTGGGAATTGGGGGTAGGGTCTTTTCCTGGAAATGCACCAGGAGACAAAAGGGGCCACCTACCAAGAAAACTCAGAACCACGACACAGACCAGGCTGTGTGGGGACAGGGTCCCTGCTGCTCCCCTCCTCCCCCGGAAGTGCCCTGTCACTCCAGGGCACTCCCAGCTGGGCTGCTCCTCAAGCCCACAGCCCCATTCTATCACCCAAGCTCCTCGGTGCCCGCAGTGATCGTGTTCAGTGGGAGAAACCGAGGCACGAAGCTACTAGGGGTTGAGACTGAGGCATGATAGCAGACGGAGTGGCAAGAAGAGCCTCGTGTTAAAGCAGCTGACTTGAGAGAGTCCATCGACTGGACCAGTGAGACTGAAGGGCGGTCAGAGCAGTGCAGGTGTGCCCTGTGCGCCTCAGTTTTTCCATGAAAAATAGGGATAGAGCTGCTGTAGGAGGAAGTTGTGTCCAGGTTCGGGTGCCTTCGGGACCCTGCCCCTGATGTTACCCCCGTTACTCCAATTCTTGGCTCAAGCCCCGCCCCTCCGGCCTCCCCCGACCCCCCTTGCCCTCACTACCTGTATCTCACCGGCGTGTGTTCACCCTCCCAGGTGCGCACACACACTCATTCACACACACAAATCTCAGGAACAAACGGTCCCAGAGTCCTCCGGGACCCCTGCCCAGGGTCTCTGCTGGTCTCTGCCCCACGCGTTCCCGTCGCTGACAAAGCCACCAGCTGCCTCCTTTACGCTTGGTGCTCCGGCTCTGGGCCTTTTCTCGCGCTCTCTCTCTCTTTCTCTTTCTCTCTTTTTTTAAGTAAAACAACAACAAAAAGACAATGAAAAAACCCAGAAAACGTCATGTGAGTGAAGAGATGTCATTGTCTGTGGTCTTGGAGAACTAGTCTAGTAGCTGAAGGGAGGGATCCCTCCCACCTGGGGCACTGGCACCCACAGCAGGATTGATGCCAGTCTGATGCCAGGACTGAATAAAGTGTATTTGCCCCTACCTCGCCCTGTGGTTCTACATGTCTGTGCCTTTCCTCAACCCTTCCCAAACAGTCTGCCAGATTTAAGTCTTTTGTTAGCGCCATTCAGGAAGAGCTGGGGGGTTCCAGGGCAAGGCATGGCCCATCCAGCCTCTGTCTCCCTCTATCTCAGGATGCCCTGGGCTTCGTTAAGGATGGCAAACTCATTCCTGCAGGGGCCAGGCAGGTAACATAAATGAATGGGAGTCTGGGTGGACATTGGCTTCATGACCCACTGGGGGGAGAGGGGGTTGCTCACCTGTCAGTTGTGACCCTGTGGGACTGCAGCCCACAGTGGCCAGGTGGCTAGATTTTTCAAGAGAAAGTGGAAAGAGTCTATTTCTATGATCATCTCAATTTCAAAATGAAAGCCAACTCAGATATTTTTAAATCCTTGTGGAGCAAATGAAATGTGTGAGACACACCTGGTCCAAGGGGGGGCAATTTGACCCTGATCTTAATGAGGATTAAGAAGCAGTGCTGGGCTCAAAGCCTAGCTCCATTACCTGTGTGATCTTGAGCAAGTTCACTTGACCCTGACTCTTCTTTCCATATGTGTAATATGGGGATGATAGTAGAACCTGCTTCATAGGGTGAAATGGAGTTCGAAGTGAGACGCATTTAACACGGTGCTCCAGAAACTGTATTACTCCCTTGTCCAGAGGAGGAACCTGAGGGTCAGAGTGGCGAAGAGCAACCAAGATCAGAGACGGGGCTCCAAATCTTGGGTCTGTCTCTGTATTACTTCAGGGCGCTACCTCTTCCCATGGGAAACTGCACATGGCTCAGAGCCTAGAGTGGTGGTGTTGGTCCCAGTGCTGGCACATAATCGGCCCAAAGCATAAATTTATTAAATGAGTAAAGAAAAGCAGCAAGCAACAATGATTCCTACCCTTGAGATTCTCACCATGTGTTTTGGAAACTGAGACCAAGGCTTTCAAAATTCTTTTGTCCCCCGGACACCCCTGCACCTTAATTATTCCTCTACCAGATCCTGTGAATTCCTAAGGTTGGACAAAGCCTGTTTCCCCAGTGAGAACCAAGGCTGTGTGTGCAGACCTCATTTAGAGAGGGTATGCGGGGCTGGGATACCCTTAGGTGACTTAAAGGGGGACTAGGGCACAGTTTGGGAGGGCTGGGTGTGTACAGGAAGGTGGTCTGGGGCAGTGCAGAAATGACAGCGACAGTTTCTCGGCTTCCCTAATTGGAAACAAGATACCCCGCCCCCCAAGTGCTATAAGAAAGAGCTAAGGACTGTGGAAGACAGATGCGTGTTCCCCATAACGCCCTTCAAGGAAGGACTTCCCCAGCTGCGGGAAGTCTGGTCAGTGGAGAGCCTCTCCGTCAGCTCTTTGAGGGTCCGCTCCAGTTGCAGAGCGCCATTCACCCAGGGCTGCTGTGTGGTGTCTGAGTGAGATCAGGAGTGACTGCCTGGCCTTCTCGGTTCAGGGTGGGACAGACTCCGGCAGACAGTACTGTGCTGCCCCTCCCCCCACACTCCCCCAAGGCCCCTCCGGGGTGGGGGAGGCTTTGCCAGGCCTGCAGGGCCATTTGACGTCCTATACCCAATCCTGCTTCCTCCCTTTTCTTTTCACAGGTGCTTATCCCTAATAAATATTTTGCACCCCAAACTCAGGCTCTGTGTCTGTTTCTGGAGAACCCAGTCTGCAATGGAGGATGCGAGGGGCTGGACAAAGGGCCTTGGGTAGCTAACTCAGCAACCCTGGCCTGGCACCTCTGATCCCGCCACCCCTTGCGAGTTGGTGTCAGGAGGAGTCTATTCACTCACCAACACGGCCCCAACCTTAGGTCGTACCCTTTCCAGTAGGCATCCCATAGACACTCCAGCGTCAGCCACAAGGCACTCCGGAGCCCTCTGCTGATGTCACTCTCACGTGAAGTCCCTCCTGGTCGAAGCTGAGGAAGGGCGGTCCTCAGTCTGTGTTTGCCCTTCAGAGTCCTCAGGGAGGAGGCGGGGGTGGGGTGGGGGCGGGGAGGGTAAATGCCTGGCTGTTTCCCGTGCCAGAGCGTCAGCCTTGGCCCAGGCTCTTTCCCTCTGCGGGCCTTGGTTTCCGCATATGTAAAGTGGAGAAGATGGGTTAGGAATCGAGGAGAGACCATTTATTATTTGGTTCCTTCCATTTCAGAAGGAAATGGATTCTGACCTGAGAAAGGTGGGGCGATCTGCTTGTGTGGACTCTGGGGACACCTAGTGGCTGAACGGAGTAGGACGCGGTTGGGGCTGGGGCTGGGGGTGTGTCCATCTCCAAGCTCACTGCATTCGTGCAGTCATTGACTCAACAGTCAGGTCCCTTGCCTGGGATCTTTGAGCCATCTTGGTTCCAAGGCGTAAAGACACGTACACGCTGATCTGTTGGTTCTCTATTGCTACATAATGAACTGCCGAAATTGAGCAGCTTAAAACCACGTGTTTATTGTTTCACAGGAGGCCAGCAGGTATGCCCCAGCTCGGCCCTCTGCTCAGGATCTCACCAGGCTGCAGTGAAGGTGTTGGCTGCGCTGCATTCCTTTCCGGAGCTCAGCATTCCCTCCAAATTCACGTGGTGGTGGGCAGAGTCCAGGTCCTTGTGTTTAAGAATGGGGTCCCTGTCTTCTTCCTGGCTGTCACCTGGGGCCACGCTTGATTCCCGAGAGCTGGTGCTCCGTTCCTTTCTTCACAGGCCTTCTCCCAGCACGGCAGCCTATTTGTCAAGGTCAGCAGGAGAGCCTTCCTCCGCTTCCAGCCACTGGACTCAGGAAGGCTCTATTTTTAAGGACGTGCTTGATCCAATCACGCTACCGAGGAAAATCGCCCTTCTGATTAATTAAAAATCAACTGATCGGGGACCTGAGGCACATCTGCAAAATCCCTTCACCTTTGCCGTTTTAACCTAATCACACGACTGACAGTCATGATGCGCACTGGTCCGGCCCACGCTGGGGAAGAGCTTACGTCAGGCATGCCCAGCAGGGGGCGGGCATCTTGGGGGCCATCTTAGAATTGTGCTTATCTCAACTGTGGGTTCTCAGGGGTGTCTCCATCCCAACATTTCCAGACTTGTCTGTCTAGCTGCCTTCTTGTTATCTCCACTGGGGTAGCTAATCGGTCCGCCAACTTGGCCTGTCCGAAAGTAAGTTTTTGTTTCCACAAAGCTCCCAACCTGCTGCCTAGTCCACCACATCTCCACACGTCACTAAAAGGCCAAAAACCTCTCCGTCCCTGGCTCCTCTTTTTCTCATGGCTTCAGATCCCTTGGCTCTACCTTCAGAATGTGTCCTGTGTCCTATCACTTCTC